TATAAAATACAAAACAGCCAGCTTTGTGCCCCCTAATTTTCAGAGGCATTAATTCTTTTATTATAGAAGGGAGTTTGCTATTTATGTCATGTGGAGGGAGGGCATAACAGGACATAAAAGAAAAATGATTAGGAGAAGTAGTGATTTGGAAAACCTTTCCTATGGAAAAATCTGGAAGGAATGGAAAGTCTTTTGCCTGAAAAAGACAAGGTGTTCTTGCAATTCTTCTATAGGGTTGGTGAACTTTTTTGATGGACACAGAGACATAACCAAAGATACTATATAGCTATACATGTAGGAGAAAAAGAACTTCCACACATTTTTATGGATGAAATTAAATATATAATAATCGAGGACAAATTTTAAACATTGTTGGCCTACTAATGAGAAGGGTGAAATTCTTTCTCGGGGAGACATTTTTATCTTGCTTAATTGGGATTAGATGTTAGTGTTCCCTTTCATCAAATCAGTGGCAAATATCTGTCTCTAAAATCAATTCCTAATTCATGGGGAAAGAGGTGCTGGGCTGCATTTACTCCACAGGTCACAGTTCTCTGGCCTCTTGTTTGGAGGGAAACCGTAAATCTCAGTATCCATTAAGAATTGCATCAGAGAAAATGGCCTTTGAATTTAGACAAGAAAAAAAAAAAGAAATCTTCTAAAAACTTACCCACTTTATGCTGTATCCAGACAATATTTATTTTTTGGTGATGGTGACTTTACAATGTTAGTTTTTATGTTTTTTCTTCCATTGTGTAGGTTTTAAACTTAATTTTGTTAATATACAAAATAAATTTTGCCCAAGGTCTGCACCTAAAAATAAACTGTTAAAATCCATTGATTTCTGCTGCTTTTCAGAATACAACAGACACTAGTATGGCAATATGTAAATCAGTGGATGTGTAACCGATGTGATTCTGCAATCTGTATATGGGGTAAAAATGGGAGTTCATAACCCACTTGAATAAAAATGTGAAATATGATATATCAAGAACTATGTAATGTTTTGAACAACCAACAATAAAAATTATAAAAAAAAGAATTAAGAAGTTTCTTGGACTTAAAAAATAATCCATTGATTTCTGTGAAAAAAATATGATAAGGAGTTTCTAATATGGTCTGAATGTTTGTGCCCTCCCCACTCTAACTTCGCGTTGAAATCTAATCCCTATTGTGGCAGGAGGTAGGGACTTTAGGGAGGTTGGTTAGGTTAGAGTGGATCCCTCATGTTTGGGATTAGAGCCCTATGGAAGAAACCCCAAAGAGCGGAACTGCCCCCATCCTGTGAGGACACAGCAAGAAGGTGCCATCATCAGAAAGTGAGCCCTCAGCAGGCACCAAATTGGGTAGTGCCTTGATGTTGGCAGAATTGTGATGCATTTCTGTTGTTTATAAATATCCAGTTGATGATATTTTTGTTATAGCAGCTCAAAATGACTAAGACAGTTTTTGATAAAGCAATCTGTTAGCCCCTAGAAGGAGCTTTTAGGGACAATCACCCATGCTTGCAAAAAACAAAAAAGCTGTGGCCACTTGAAATGATGGTAAGTGTGCCTTTAAATTTTAAATGTTTTGTTGTTGTTGTTGTTGTTTCAGAAAAGGCCTACCAGAGAAATTTATAAGGAGCCTGCCCAAATTACTAAGTCACCTGCTTCGTCCCTTTTAGGTGAGCTAGAGTCAACTTTGGTTATTATAATACTAAATTCTGTTCCCAGAGGTGTTCCACCCATTATTTTTGGAACATGTAATGTATGAAGAAGCATGACATTGTATGGAGGATGCTCAGGAAAGTCCTGCCTCTACATGTGATGAGAGTCTGTCCTGCATGAATATGTATGAGTTTCCCTAATAAAAGCCCCATGCTTTGTTGGCTAAGAGAGAGACACTGCTTTTGGATGATCCCCAGTGCGCTCCAGACTTGCTGCAAGGCATGACCCTCTCTTCCCTCTTTCATCTCCTGGTTGTGCTTATCAGCTTTGCACTCACAAAGCAGCAAATCAACTGCATTTGGTCACAAATGCAGTTATATATATATATATATATATATATATATATATATACACACACACACTACCTAAAATTTTTATCTAATTTATTTTGATGCAAAGTAAAACTCTATTATGTGGTGCCATAATTGTTTTGAGTTAGGTCTGACAACAGACTAAAACTATCTTCCTCTAATCCAGGAGAGTAAATTCATTGTTGACTAATGTTGTCAAAGTAAATAAATAAAGAAAAGAAAAATAAATCACTGCTTCTGATTATCTGTCTAGAAGGAAGTTTCCAACTTTGAGTAAGATGAGCCAAGACTAATTGTATTATTATTCTGTAAGGAACTATGAATATCACAACTGATATATTTATTGTCAGGAAGGAAAACTCAGCAAACACATGTAATACTTGTATTAAACACTTCTGAAGAAGGTAGAAGCAATTTTAGAAAGAAGCTTAATTTTAGCAGAGCAATCAAATTATGCTTGTTTTTTATGCCTGAGCCTCAACTTTGTCTAGTATCTTTTCCTAAAATGAATGGAGTTTATAAGGTACATTGTAAAGCAAATAAGACTCCCCCACTCCCCGGCTTAATATCTGCTCATTCTTTAAGATCCAGCCTAGATTTCCCTTAGGAAAGTCCTCCCAGCAGCCTCCATCTCTCACGTCGGGGCACTCCTTACCAGGGTGCCCAAACACCATGTACGTATTTCAATTGTGATACTTCTACATGGGCTTATAAATTTGTTTAAAAGTCCGTCTACCCAGCCAGGTGTGGTGGCATGTGCCTGTCATCCCAACTCAGGACGCTAAGGCAGGAGGGTTGAAAATTCAAGGCCAGCCTGGGCAACTTAGTGACACCCTCTCTCAAAATTAAAAATGAAAAGGGATGCAGCTCAGTGGCAGAGTGCCCCTGGGTTCAATCCCCAGCACTGGGGAAAGAACAAAAACCAAACAAACAAAAAGTGTATCCATCTAGTTAGACTTGGAGCAACAGGAAGTCAGGGATGACATCCTATTCACCATGGCCCTTTCTCTGGTTCCTAACACAGTGCCAGACACATAGTAGGAGCTCATACATGCCTACTAAGCCAAGCCATGAACAAATGGACAGGTGGGTCACTTTTCACCCACTATGCACCATCATCCTCTCTTCTTTACCACTGCTTTCCAAGAAGATCAGTGTGACAGAGACACAATTCTAGATGTAGGATAAAGACAAGGTCAGAAAATAATGAGAAGAAGAAGAGATGTCCAAGAATGAGAAGAGACCTTTCTCAGGGAGCAGGAGCCATGGAGCAGTGCGTGAGGGTTGCTAGGTCACCTGACAAAGGATGACAGTGTGTGTGCAGTTTGCACTGTTGGCAGGAGGGCTGCAGCTCCCTGTGAGTCTCTTTCCTTCCCTTCTGTCCCCTCCTCTCCACCCCCCCACCCCTCTGTTCCTCATTCTCTCTTCTTCCCTCTCTCTCACTTCTTTTCTTCTTCCTCCTTACCATTTTGTAGGCTTTTTCCAAAGAAAGAAGCCTAAGGAAAGCTCTGTTGGGCTAAGCTTTAAAAGGGGAACAAAACCCCCTTCCCCGTGCTCTTCCTGCCTCCCCAGTTTGGAGGGCCACTGTCATGCTACTAAATGGCCAGAACTTGGGAAAATCCTGTAATTTTTCATTCCTGAGAATGTCGAGATTCTTCCTCTGGTTCTAACGAGAGTGTTCCGTGTCAGGGGGAAGGGCAGCTTTTCTTCTCTGGGAACATTTTCCTTGTCCCCTAACCCTGGAAAGGGTTTTTATTGACTCATCGATGCCCAGGATTACAAATACAGCCCCCTTTTTTCCCCATCTGCTATAGCCCTTTTTCTCACTACTGCTGTGGGATTGGCTTAGTATCCTGAGAGAAATCAAAAACGCATATTGATGTTCTACCATTGTTTTTTTTCTTCTTCTTCTTCTATCCCAAACCCCATGCTCAGCTAGTGGGGCTGGAGAACACGCTATAGCTGGGCACCTTAAAGAACAGATGCACACTGCCCACCCTCCTGTCACCATCAGCTGTATGCTTAGAAACCTGGCCCTGGGAAATACCTGCTGGAGATTCTGGCAGGGTAGAAATCTGCAGGTGGCTGGTCTTTGCATATGCCAAGAGTCCCATTCCCATGCCAGTTATTCAAGAACTGTCTGTATGTGCTCAGGAGAACATTATGGCTTTCGCTGTGTAGACTTTGTCCAATATTAATTAGAAAAAGAGACCATTATCAGTTTTTAAAAGCAGAGCCAGTTTTTCTTTCTTTCTTTTTTTTTTTTAAATAATGATAATAAATTTATACACATGGAATAGGAAGCAATATTTTTTTCCAAGAGAAAATGGATATGGTGATGGGACAGAAGCGTTGACCCAGCAGGGAATGTAAACTGCTCATTGTGGTCAGTGATCTGACTCATTTCCTATATTTTAAAATTCGGGAACAAGTTGAAGCGAGTTCCCTGGTTTCTTTAAGCAACTTCCCTTCTGTCACTGTTGTCTGATGTCAGTAAATGTAGTTAATACTCCAATACAAAGGGCTGATCTTACAGCATCAGAACTAAGCTTTGATGTTTTCCAGGAGCTTGTAAACATGTTCCAATACTTACAAAGGAAATACACATATCAGGAGGATTTAATAATGTTTGATGTTTTATAAAGTTCATGAAAACCATTTTGATGACATTGCATTTAGAATACCAAGGGTAGAGAAAAGACGAAAAACTTTTGCCAGACTTAAACCAGTTCAAAGTTGGGATGATCCATATTTCCAGACGCTCATGAATTTCAATACTTTAGTAGGTAAAAGTAATTCAGACCTCAGAATTACTTAGGAACAGTCTTTGTACCATTTGTGTATCATTATAATCCTTTTATTGTTGTGTAAACATTTTTTTATCAATACGTGCAAGAAAATCTGGTTTCAATAAACTTAGTAATACATGTAAACTATAGGATTCATAAAGGTAATTAACCCAAACAACTAGCATACTTACAATTGCATTTCTTCTGAACAAATCTAAGCTTGCATGCTGTTCTGTAGGTGGAGAGTCGGATGCGATCCAGATCTTGAGCCCCTAGTGGGGGAGAAAGAGTACACATATGGTATGCCACGTGTGTGGAAAGGAATTATCATGTTTATAAATAAAATAACTGCAGATATAATCATACACTTATTAATTTTGTTAGAATACAAATATTATTTTAAGACTTGAAAAGGTCTGTCTCGCAGTCCTCAGGTTCAAGGGGAAAAGGAGCCCCTGCATTCCATTCAACATTGGAACCTAGATTGTCAACCAAGTGCATGAACCAGGGAACACAACCTCTTCCCTGTTGTGTCTATCATTTCCAAGAACAATCTGCTCAAGCTGTGACTTAAATAGCTATATGATATCAGACACTATCATAAAATAAATGCACTGCTATTGAAAATTGCTACTAGGTGACTGAATGTGAGCACCTTCTCTGTCGATCCTTCAGCCAGTTGCTTTTAGAAGCCTCTGTTTTCTCACCTGAAAGTTGGGGATAATGAAACTAACAGTACTTATTTCACAGGATTGTTGTAAGAATGAATGAACATATGCCTAAAGTACTTAGAACACTGCTTGGCACAGTGTTCACGATTGGCCTAAGTGTTCACTATTATTACGAATATCTATTATAATATTAGAGGAGGAGACTCCTTTCTAAAAAAAAAAAAAACAAAAAAAACTTGTATTCTTTCTTACACTATAGCTTCCAGTTCCTTCCTGGCAGAGGGAACATGCTCCCTATATTGTTGAATGACTTTCTTATTCCACACTTTAACTCAAGAATCCAGCCTGGTAGGTACCACATCTATCATCCCAGTGACTCTAGGAGTTTGAGGCAAGAGGATTGCAAGTTCCAGGCCAACCTCAGCAACTTAGTGGGGCCCTAAGCAACTTAGCCATACCCTGTCTCAATAAACAAACAAACAAATAAAAAGAATTGGGGGGTGTAGCTCAGTAGTAAAGTGCCCCTGAGTTCAACCCTGAGTCAAAAAAAAAAAAAAAAAGAATACAGCATGGCTCCCCATGACCAGAACATCAGGTCCAAAAGCTCTGCTGAGAATCCATGACCTTGTGCAGTCTCTTTCCATCTTACCTGCCCAAGAGTACATCTCCCCACTCTGCCACAGAATCTCTGCTAGGCTTGGGCCAGTCTCTCCACAAGCCACATCACAGCAAACTGAGCTCCTAGTGTTTCCTCTGCCCAGATTTGAGTGGATTAATCTCTAGACTGTATTTAGAACATATTCTACTGTCAATAAATGTGTCTGCTTTTCTTTGCTTTTAAGTTTTGGGCTCTCTTCCACCCATATTCATGTTTTGTAATAGATATAAGGCAGGTAGGTATATTTCGCATGTACTGAACTTTCTCTTCACCAGTGGTACATAGGTAAAATGTGCCACGTGAATGTTTCAAACTGTAATAGTGTACCAAGCCAACGAACTGCCATGGATGCAATTATATTAGGAGGCCAATGAAGTGCTTTCTCAGTGAAACTCAGGATGAATTAGTGAGTGTCCTTCACTGACAGCATTCAGCCTTCCCTCAATTCAAACTGATCTCTTTAGATTCACTTAAAAATATTGTCAATAGTCCTATTACTTTGTGGTTTTTTGAGGAACATCATTAAACATTCATTCTTATGAAAGTATATTTCTTGACAAACAGGCCCATCGGTACTGAACACTTACAAAATGTTCCCAGAGAAGAAAAGCTGCCCTTCCCCCTGACACGGAACACTCTCGTTAGAACCAGAGGAAGAATCTCGACATTCTCAGGAATGAAAAATTACAGGATTCTCCCTGACTCAATCCAGAAATTCTCTGAAACATGTTCTCAGGAGATGGACATCTAGCCAACAGCCATCGATTATTTCTAATGATAGGAAAGATTATAATTTTGTAAAAATAAATAGATTTTTAAGCCAGTAATCCTTAATTCTGTCACCTCCTAGCTGTGTGAACTTCAGCAAATTTTTACTTGGCAATTCAATTTCCTCAGGCATAAAATGAGGATAACAATATGAACTTGAGCAGGTGGTAATAAATATCCAGTTTTGACCTCTGCACCAGATAGATAGTCAGCAGCTAACAGGAATGGACCTGCTTAGAGGGCTTTCTGTACAATAACAGATTTTTTTTTAAACATTTCAGCTTTAATACGCCTCTTTGTGACTTCAACCCACTTGATGTAGTTTCCCATCCAGAGCCACATACTCTTTTCTCCCCTGCCATTAAATAATTCATTTCTCAAATACTACATGGCAACCATCATTATTATTATTACCATCTTAGATGTCATCTGAAAATTATGGACAAAAGCCCTGTCACCATAAACTTTAAAGTTTAGCTGGGGAGGTAACTTTTCCTTCATTTTTTAATGTTAAAAACAATATGATGTCTATCATTGAGTCTGGTATGCAACAGACAGAGAAGTTGTTATTATTATTCTCATTACCATCAGGCATGGTTTTAAAGCCCTTATATATTCCAATCACCCTGTTCATGGCTGGTTAATATCTTCCTAAAATGAGAAACACAAAGTAACTCAAATGCCAGAGATAATGCCTCCTCATATAGAATGTATAGAAAGCAGTTAATGCCACCTTTCATAAGGATATTTATGAATGTAATAATATATGTATATGTATATATGTATGTATATATACATATATATGCAGATGGTTTATTTTTTAGGTTCTTATTATGTGGTAAAGATGTATCTCCATAGGATGCGGTAAAGAGACACAGAGATGATGCTGAGGGACTGGGGTGTGCTGACTGCTCCCTCCTGCTCTATCACTATGTTTACTTAACACATAGTGGGTTTTGTTCCAGGATCAAGAAGGGGCCTAGATGTCTATAAATGTTTCCTATCTGTGTATGTTCTTACCACCTGATGATGTAAGTCCTGAAGTGACATGGTGAGCAACAAAATTGAGCTCTTCAGATACAGCAGCATACGACCTCACACCAACAATGCAAATGGCACCAGAGGATCCATGTTGGATTTTGGGACCCAAAGAAAACTGAGATATGCTCCATGGACTTTTGCTCTGTTTATTCACCTTGCTTAAAATAATTTTTTTTCTTTACCTCAATAAATCCTGAACTTAATTCACTTCTCCATGTGTGTGGTCTTTCTATAAACCCAAAGTCTACCTTGGAATTACTTGCATATCTTCTGTGTCCTCATCCAAGTCATTGATTAAAACCGAGGACCTGATCAGGGTCAGCATACTGTAGAAGGCTGCCTTCCTCCCGCTTGGCTGACTTATTAATTAATCCTCTGGACACAGACACCACACCACCTGTCGATCTACATAATTATATGGTGACCCAGGCATCACTTGTCCAACGCATAAACAACCTAAGAGGCTTTGTCAATACCTTGTTGAAATTAAGGTTAATTTTTATTTGATGGTGTTTTCCTCATCTACCAGTCTGGTGACCTTATTAAGAGGGGAAATTATTTGGCTTAATTCTCTCATTAAAAAGATAGCATTTAAGTAAATGAATAAGGAAATGGAGACATTAGAGGAATCTTTGTTTTTAGCATGTTAAAGTGTTTAGGATCACTACTACCTTTTGTCCATGAAATGAAAAATCCATTTTATCATGAAAGCTACATCAGATTCATATTATAGAGTCTAAAGAATCTGTGTTCTGGGACTGTGGCTGTGACTCAGTGGTAGTGTACTTGCCTGGCATGTGTGAGGCACTGGATTCGATTTTCAGCACCACATATAAATGAATGTAATAAACGTCTATCAACAACAACAAAAAAATTAAAATAAAACAAAAAACTAGAAAAATATCCTTTAAAAAAAGAAACTATGTTCTTCCTTTTGAATAAAAAATGAGTATAGCATTTTTCTGTCAGTTTTTTAAAACTTTTTGCAATGTCTGCAAGATAATGGATCATAATTATTTTTCTCATAATGTCACTTGGATATAATTTTTTTTAAAACCTAGAGATTCAACTCATTTGAATTATTTCTTATATTTGTTCCATACTAGTACACAGTGAGGGCTTGGGATAAATAATTAAGGGCAGAGATGAATACTACTTTCTCTATAGCAGAATATATTTGAAAATTTTCATAATAGAAAATTTAAAGTTCATTTATTTAAGGAATCTTGATGTTCTCACACCAGCTCCTCAAACCTCACCTCCTCATGTCATGGTTGAAAAAAGTGATAAAGATGAGGAAAGAGAGGTAAGAAATTATGTCTGTTCAGTGACCAGCTGTAAATTACTCCTCATCCATCTTCTCATGTTTCTCTCTCTCTTCCTTCCTTACCTCTGTTCCTGCCTCTCTCACTTCCTTATTTCCTTCCTCTTGCTTTTTTCCCATCCATTTATGAAACCAGCTCACCCACCCAACAACCAAGCACTTTACCTAATTTTTGACTTTAGCTTCATGACACTCCAAATGTTTCCACACAATTTATGTATGTTTTGCCTTCTGTTTTGATAGTTCGTTATACAATCTTCTATATAGTCAGTTCAATTTTTAAATATCTCATTCATTTTAAAAATTTGCTCAACAGAAATTTACAGAATGAAAATGAAGCCTACAAACTCTCCATCTGAACTCTGCCATACTTGATGACTCACTGAACGGAGGCATGTGTGTGCATGTGCGTGTGTGCATGTGCGTGTGCGCATCTGCTTGTGTGTGTGTGTGTGTGTGAGAGAGAGAGAGAGAGAGAGAGAGAGAGAAGAGAGAGGAGAGGGCGATTGGGAGGGGAGATGAAGGAGTTGATAGATCAAGGATGACACTTGGATTTTAACCTTAGGCAACTCAGAGGGATGACCTCACTGAGCTCAGGTAAACAGGAAGGAACAGGTTTGTAGACAGGGGAAGATGAAGAGCTCAGTTTCAGGTATACAGGGCTTGAGCTGTTCATGGGATATGGCGGTGGAGGTATCCAGTGGGCAGTGAGTCTTGATGGGGCCAAGATTGGGGATATTTTTCCAACAGAAGACTTTGTGCACAAGTATACATTCTAGATGACATCAGGAGGCACGAAGTTGGGAACTGAAACTTGTTCCCACTTCTGAACAGTGCCCAGCTATTTTATAGATGTTCAGAGCCTATGTGAACTGGACGGCAGCAGCCTTGGCAGGGACATTGGCTTTTTTTGTGGTGGGAACTATTACTGGAGTCAATGATGAGCTCACCTCAAGCTGCTTTGTCAGCAGAACAGCAAGAAGGCAAGGCTGGAAGAGATGTTGAGTCTTCATGCTGACTGCTCTGGATAAGCTGCTTCATGGGATTACAAGAGGTGGTTTTAAAGGACACTTGAGAGTTAGGGCAATCAATATGATGGCTTGGGTGGCAGAGAAATCATGGGTAGAGAGAACTGGCCAAGAACAAAACTGACTTCAGGTCTATTGGGTACGAAGAGAGAAAATATAACAATAGAGTGGTGGTGACAGAAGACAGAATGGTGATCTATGGTGTTAACATCTTAAAGAGAATAAGAAGCATGAGAAATGCAAAATCAAGTGAAAATGGTCACAGTGTTCAACACGACCTATGGTGATGGGATCATTCATGTCATTTTTCTGGATTTTTGAAATTGGTGTTCCTAAAACTCATAGTGTGTATGACAGAGCATGTCCCAGCTTCCTTACCAACTGTGCGCTTGCTGACTGCCATCATTCTGAAGAGGCCCGCCTGCCCTTAAACAATTCAGCATTGTTTCCTGAGGGCCCATGTTTGCCTCTTTTGATTTGGGTTCCCTCCTTCAGGTGGAGGCCAGTGGTGTCTTTGCCTTCTTCTCAAGGAAGCTGACTTCTAGGTCCTCCAAAGGTATTTCCAATTGCTTCCCTCTCATTAAAACCTAGCCACCCTGGGCCCCCTGGCTTCCAAGCAAACAGCGATTCAGTACCTAAGGTGAATGGATCTGAAGATACATGCCTAGGGTGTGTCTCCAAAAAGGAGTTTTCAATAGTGAATGACACTGAGAGCGTGTGTTCACAAGAAATTGAGAGTGGAAAAACACAGGAGAATTTCATCGGAAGACAAAAAAGTTATTCTGCTAAAGGCCAGTCTGATAAACCTGTTTGAGCAGATCAACTAAATTGTTGGCTGAAAGGTCAAGATGAAGATGATGTTTACATTTAACTAGAATTTTTTTTCTGTTGTAATCCAATACACTAAGTAAGCTGATAAATAGGACATTATAACAAGCAGAGTTTTTGGTTTAGTACAACTCGCCCAGGATTTTTTTCAAAGTAGATGGCCAGGATTTCTTCAAAAGTAGACTCACTTGTGAGTCTGTGCTGTCTTAATTGCATTTCTTTGCTGTTTCTTCCTGCTTCTGCTGCTAGTGGTAATGAGCTCCGAGTAAATGTTTAATGCATATGTTCTGCAATCTCCTAGATTTGACAAACCTTCTTATCAATTATTCTCCCTATGGATTGTCATTCTGTCTTTATAAGGCAGGCTTAACATTCCCTGCCACCTGCCTAACTTTAGACAGATTTCTTCCTGCCTCTAGACCTCTGGTCTCCCTTTGCTCAGAGCCTTTAGCTTTGGAAAGCTTCCCATTATAAATCTCTACTGGGCTTCTGTGAGATGTCAATCTCCATTTCTTCCCAGCTTTACAACCCAGGGATGACTTTCTCAAAGACATGGGAGTCAGCCCTTTGACATGTAGTCATTCAAGGAGATCATGTCCTATCTCCCTGTCTCTGCAGTGAGGGAAGAGCCTAACTTTTCTCCTGCCCAATTAGCAAATGTGGATGGTAGGCCTAAGCACATTGACCAAACTTCCCTGTAGTCCTCTGGTTATTTTCCACTCGGCACCCTGGTGCTCAAAAACTCTCCTCCAGGGCAGTTGAGGTTGATCTTTCTCTCCTATTGCCACAATCTAGAATAAAGTCCTCCGTGCCTGTCTAACTCTGCATGATGCAATTTTTCTTTCACATTCATAATTTCAAAAGTGAAAAAAAAATATCTTTGGCACTTTCTTTTGCTGTCTTAAAAAAAATAATTACTAGATAAAATTTTATAAGCACCTAGCCTTTTTTGTACTCCCTGTCTAGACATGACAGGTTTCCGGGGTAAGTTACTTTCTAAGTCTCAGTCTTTTCCAACAGTAGTTTTCTTTTCTTTCTTTGGTGTCCTGCTGATAGAGCTGGGGTCACCCATATATTTTTTCAACCACTTAATACATTCTTAATGAGATTATCGTTCTCTTTTTTAAGACAGTCTACCTATCTGAAGTCAATCCTCTCCATTGAAAGCAGTCATTTGTTTTATTCAGTAGATTTCTACCAACTGAGGATGTGCATTGTACTGATCGAAACTTGTTTTTCAAACTAATGGATGATTAAGGTCAGACATGTTCAGCTGTCTTGGGCTGACAACTGAATCATTAGTACACCCAGGGAGGAATGATGCATATTTCTTGGGCTGGTTTATCTATTCTAATCATTAATGAGGAGAACTTATAAACTATTTAATAAACTCTCCTGACAGTCTGAGAACTCTCTACAAAAAGATAATTAAAATTTGGGAAATGAACACATGGTTTTCCTAAGTCTCTCTCCCTTGAAAAAAAATTTAGAGTTGTTCTTTTTTTTGTGACTATAAAACTTCTGTCCAACTTTCTTTAGTTGAACAATTTTAAGTCACTAGACATTTGCAACATTCCTATTTGTGCCTTGTACTACATAAGGTGCAGAAGGAACTGGGCATTTAAATTCAGATATGGATTTGCAAAAGCATTTCAGTAAAGCACACTTCTAGAATTCTTATGGTGTGCCAGCTGATATAGTCTTTAGTGCTACAAAATAAGTTCAAAAATCTCCCCCAGATTTTATTACCTTCTTAAAGTAAATATTATTTATTTTTTCTGTATCCGACAGGACATTTCTCCACTATGTCCTACTGGTCTATTTTGATGCTTATGCTCCTTTGGATTTTATTTATATGGGCAGTGGCAAGTAGGTGTGCTTTTCCCCTAAAATGTATTTTTTTAACTTTTTCCCTCTTGCATTTTAACTTTCCAGGTATACAATATATTTTCCTTTCTAGAAATTAATTTACTTTTAATTGACAAATAATAGTTGTGCACATATATCAGGTACATTGTGATATTTCAATCTATATATACAATGTAGAAGGATTTTTCAAGCTAATTAACATATCCAACTCCTCACTGACATATTTTTTTTTTGAAAAATGTTAAAAATCTGTTCTTTTAGCAATTTTGAAATATGCAATACATTATTATTAACTGTAGTCACCATGCAGTACGGTAGATCACTAAAATGTATTCCTCTGGTCTAAGATTTTGGGAGGCAGTAACTGGGCTTCTTACCTGTTGGGTTTGTATCTATTTTAAAAAAAAATCCCTATTCCAGGTGACTGGCCACATCATAAGTAAAGATTCTGGTACCAAACAAGGCCTAGATAAAACCACAAGGCACTAGATAAAATTGTATTGGAATGTCTTGACTGAAACTCTCAGACTTTATATTCATCTCTAAAAATGGAAAAAGCAAGGAGCATGATTGAGATTCCCTATGTCAGCTTTAATTTTCTTTCCTCTTTGTTAGTTCTAATGATGTCTTGGTGCCTCAGATTTATTGAGAAATGATAAAAAGAAAATCTGAATCTTATTATCTAGGACTTTCCTTTATCTACTCTGACCCTCATTCTTGCCAATCACTTCCCAAGTTCCATAGCAACCTAATTTTTTCCTACTATCTTCTCAGGAAAGGAGGTTGTTCACAACTCAATTTGCTTGTTCTCACTCTTTATGCAGGAGGGAGAAATAAAATAAGACAAAAAACCAATAAAAGAATCACAGGGTTGATTTTTTTGGTAATATTTAATTTGAGACATCTGTTTTCCCTCTAATGTCAAGTTGTTGCTATTTATGAATAAGAAAAATGTTCTATAAAGGAGATAATACCAATTATACCATGACTATGCATTTACATAAACCAATAGCCTTTATTTAATAGGTTCAACACCCGAGGCTGTAAATACAATCTTGGTTTGGTTTTCCTTGTACAGCAGGTCACCTCTAAGCTTGTTTTGTTTTGTTTTTCTTTGTACTTTAAGAAAACTAGTGTGTAGGACAGAATCACCCTCTCCACACGAAATCTGAATGATAGCTTCTAGTTTGATCCAGTATTTGTATCTAACCCTTCTTTCTCCTATGAATATATGATATGATTTTGCAGGGAAGACATTAAAGGATGCGTTTCACAATTTTATCTAGTGTCCACACTATACCAGCCACTGTGACAGTGCAGGAAGAGGAACACAGACTTCAAAGTTTAGTGGACAGAATAAATGTCTGTACTAAGCAGTGTTTACCAAGTGTCTCTGGGTATGTGTGTGAATATAAATACATAGGTCCATAAGCTTTTCAAAATGTAAATCTAGAGAGAGTTCAGTAACAAATTATAACAAATCACTAACTCTTACCTAGTAAGAGGCAAAATGGCCAAATGTATGCTTTATGCATTTTTCTTAAGTTTTAAGGAAAAGTACAAATGCCATAAGGATTAAGTAGTTATTTCTAGCCTTTCCATGAATATTCAATGAAAACTGTACGGAGTTCCTTAAAAGTTCCATACTTACTCATCTCTGCAAACAGCTGTCTTCTTTCTGCCATGGTATTTCCTCTTTTCCCACTATCTTCAATCATTCTATGATAAAAAAAATTGTTAAAATATGCATTATCTTCACATTAATAAGGCAAACAGCCATTTGTATGTAAACACATTTGCTGCATTTGTGCCACAGAGAAAAACTATTTTAAAATTGCAGAGTATTTTAAAATTACAAAGTACAGCTTTACTTTCACTAATCTAAATGGCTGTACGTATTTTTTCATATGTAATGTTTTTGTATTTTGTTGAAGGAGGTATAAAATTTTTATTTCCTAGCATAAAAATTACTACAACAGCAAATGACCTTATGCTATAACTAAATACAACCATAGACCATCTGTTAGGAGATTGATTTTAAATATAGTGTCTCCTTCCATTCTGGGAATATCTATCAAGGCTACTAAGCAGATTTGGTGGCTTCCATTAAATAGCTGATGAGACTGAGAGTCTCATGGACTTGGTGGATGAAAGGCATAGGACCTTTGGACTCTGCGACAAACATACATCCCACCTCTTTCTTCTGATAGTTGTCCCTAGTACATGCAAACCCTCAACTTAGAAACAGGAAACTTTCTTATGTTCATCTCCAAGTTGGGTGTTCACAAGGTGCAACAGTTTTCCTGCACATAATAATTTAAAATAAGGTGGTTGGGTTCAACAGTCCTTAACCAGACCATTCTCTGCTGTAGAATGATTTAAAAATACTATTAAAATGATGAAAGTTAAAACAGAGAATAAGAAAAGATATAGCAAATTAAAATTTAGCTTGAGGAAAAGGAAAGTTAATGTAAGTGCTGTCTAGTTGTGTAGTAGGCTTTGGGCTAAATACAGAGGGTATCGTAGGTTGGCGGACTTGATTTATAATCATACCTAATTAAACTATTAAAGACTCAAGTTTTCTCTCTCATACATGCATGTCCATATGCACACATATGTATACCACTAAGACTTCTGTTTTGATTCTCAGGCATGGTTAACATAAGGCAGAACTGCATGCATCTTTTTGCTTTTTTTTTTTTTTGTATTTGTTCTAATTAGTTTTAATTATACGTGACAGTAGAATGCACTTTGACATATCATACATATATGGAGTATAACCTCTCATTCTTCTGGTTGAACCTGATGTGGAATCACACCAGTCATGTAGACATATATGCACGTAGGGTAACAATGTCCACTTCATTCTACCATCCTTCCTACTCTAACACCCCCTTCCTTCCATTACCCTCGGCTTAACCCAAAGTAACTCTACTCTTCCCTAGGGGCCTTTCACCACCACTTATTGTGAATTAGAATCCACATAGAAGAGAAAACATTTAGCTGTTGTTTTTTTTTTTGAGGGGAGGGGGGAGGATTGGCTTATTTCACTTAGCATGATATTCTCCAGCTCCATCCATTTACTGGAAAATGCCATCATTTCATTCTTCTTTAAGACTGATTAATATTACATTATGTATATATACCACATTTTCTTTATCTATTCATCTGTTGAAAGACACCTAGGTTGGTTCCATAGTTTAGCTACTGTGAGTTGAGCTGCTATAAAAATTTACTGGCTGTGTCACTATAGTATGCTGATTTTAAGTCTTTGGATATACAAAGAACTCAAAAAACAGAGCACCAAAAAAACCCCCCAAATAATCCAATCAATAAATGGGCTAAGGAACTAAACAGACACTTCACAGAAGAAGAAATACAATAGATCAATGAATATGCAAAAAAAAATGTCCAACATCTCTAGCAATTAGAGGAATGCAAATCAAAATTACACTAAGATTTCATCTCACTCCAGTCAGAATGGCAATCATCAAGAATACAAGCAACAACAAATGTTGGTGAGGAGGTGGGGAAAAAAGTACACTTGTATATTGCTGGTAGGACTGCAAAATGATGCAACCATTATGGAAAGTTGTATGGAGATTCCTCAGAAAACTTGAAATGGAACCACCATTTTTGTCTGTTTTTTGATGTGTGCTATTCTTTCTCAAATCTAGATCTTCAGGCATGTTCTTTTTGTGACTGGACTACCTTCAGGTCTCAAGTTTCTCTGAAATCTTTCCCAGCTCAATTTCTGCCTGGATTTGGTGCCTTTCCTCTGAACCTTCACAGGGTGTACAATGCCTTTCTCTTGATACTGAGCATTCACTCCACATATGTTTGTTCCATCCTTCTGCACTCCAAGAACTGTGCTAACCTCTGGGCATACCACAGGTATCAAGTCACAATTTCTGCCCTCAAGGTGCTTACATGATAGGGGAAGAGATACAAGAGCACAAAAGCATTTGAAACACAAGCAGCTGGAGGCAGTCATAGAGGTAGAAAGAAAGATGTGAGGATGAGAGAGGTTGATTTCCTGCAGCTGCATTTAACAGAACGGCAAGCAGAAGCCTTCTCAGAAGTTAATGGACTGTGTATAAAATGACTTATCTGAGAGGAAAAGAATTAGTGTAAAAATGATTTTTATAGTTTATAGATGAGGTGTCCCCCAAGAAGCCCATGTGATAGACACTACAGCAATGTTCAGAGATGAAGTGATTATATTATTAGAGCTGAAGCCTAATCAGTGGATTAATATATTTGACAGATTAATAATTTGCAAGGATTTCTGTACTGAGTGGTGACTGTAGGAAGGTAGGAATTTCTTGGAGGAAGCTTGCCCTTAGGAGTGACTTATTATCCTCTGTCTCTTTTCTATCTCCCCACTTCCTGGCTGCCTTGAGTGGCCAAATTTTCTCTGCCATGCCCTCCCACCATGATTTTCTGCCTTGCCTTGGGCCCAGAGCTACGCAGTGGGCCGACTATGGACTGAACCTTTAAAACCATGAGTCAAAATAAACTTCTCTAAAATGTTCTTGTCAGGTATTTTGGTCACAGTGTTAGAATGTTGACTAACACAATAATGTTGGCTAAACTGGTCAAATAGCTTCATGTGTTACTTCTAAGGACATATCTATTGCTAAGGAGAGAAAGATAGACCTGGGACAGTCTTTGTTAACAGAATCAGGGGAAGAGTCTACACACATTCATAACAGGTTAGATAATAGAACCAGGGTATAGCCTAGCTAGCAACTGGAAAGGAGGAGAGTTATTAATGATCTTCTTCAATTTGTTAACAACTCACCGCAAAACATGGTCCAATCTTCTTTGGATGAGATTTTTAAATATGCAAGTAGAGTTGACAAATAGAGATGTGGAGAGAAAGTCCCTTTCCTGATACATATCTCCCTATCTCCTTTACTCCATAAGAATTAGGTAGCTAATCACTTGACATCCACAAAATAGTTCGCCATTTAGCCTCTAGTTCAAGGTCTCAGAAGGAAGTTGAGGCAATAAGAGAGACAGGGGATGGCGCCAGTGATGTGTTCTTGTATTTGTCCATATGCTGGTATGAAATGAAAAGAACCATCAAAATAAATCACCAACAATGGCAGATTGGAGCTCTTACTGGGAATATCAGCAAGCTGAAGACTAGCATTTGAGCTCATAGCTCTTACTGCCTGGACAATTTACTTACACTGCTGTGACATCTCTTTACCTAGTTAACGTTGTGTGTCCCTGTAAAGTTTTCAAAAGAGTAGTAATTTCATTAATTTGAAGCTCTTTTTGTGTCTAGAAAAATCCAATCAACAACTGAGGTGACCAGTTAGTATCTATTAATTGAATGAATGAAAGAGGGGAAAAATACTGGAAGTGGAAAAGAGAGAAAAACAAGAACTAAATTTTCTTTCCATGAAATGGACTTTCAATTAAATATATTTCTAACTTCTGACTCATGAAAAGTGAAATCCAAATTGTACTAGTTTCAAGGATTCATTATTTGAAATGAAAGAAACTAATTTACATTTATTATAATGTAGGATTGTACATTTTTAAAGCAAAATCATGTCTCATGAAATAGAAATTGAAAAAGATGCAAACTGTATGAATGTAGACTTTTGGTATATTCATCACCATTTTTTGTTAATTAATTCATAAAAGAACCATCATTAGTTATACAATAGGTTTTAATTCTCACTTCTAAGTAAAATGTATACCATAAGAGGAAAAGAAGGAGGTGTGAAATAGTAGGAGGAGGTGTGAAATAATAGGAGGAAAAAAATACAATTATAAATATAAAAGAAAAAAATAATATACTTCTCATTTTACCCCCAGAGGTTCCTAGGAAGCAGAGCTGTTAGGTACAATTGAGAACACTCATTCATTACTCATTGATCATAGGTATCACAGTAAAAGAAGAGGGGAGCGTACTAGCTTAAATAGGGGGAGTCTTCAACAAAGTGAGCTCAAGGATCGGACAGGTAGGGTCGCCTCTGTGGGCTCCTTAATTGCCAATCTGAGTTTGATCAGTAGATTAAGATACACATTCTTGACTACATTCTCATTACCCAAGAAAGAGAAAAGAATACAATCTTCAGCAGAGGAAGGACTGAGGGGTTTTACAGAGGGCAGTTTTGCTTCTGAAATAATGGAAATTGCCTAGTACCTCTTTTTTTCATGAATTTTTGGTATAACAACTCTTTCTGAAGTCACTTGGGGGAGGTGAAGGGAAAATAAACTCTTTGTAATGATACTAATGTATGTCACATGGGGACACCCGGTTCAATGGTCATTTTTTTTCTCTCTCCTTTATGTAGATAAGATACTTACAACCTACAACCTTAGAAATTATCAGAGTATTATGTAAATGTCAAAAGAGTGAAAAGAACTAATAGTGATAGTGATAAATGCATGATGAACCCCTTTAGATGAACTCCTTACTAGAAATCGATCCCACAAATTATACAGGGCATGTGTTGTTCTCAATAATAAGAATTCATCCATTCATTTAAGAAATATTTATAAAGTAACTATAATTTGTCAGACACTCTGTGGCTTTCTCCAGATACAAAGATTAATAAGACAGGATCCTTAAGAAGCTTGCAGCCTAGAGGGGAGAACACATTTTCCTAGTAAATACTTAGTATTTGGTGTAACATATGCTATAATGAAAGCATGTGCTCTTTGATATAATAGTTTGTTTCCAGGAAGATCTGAGA